AACTAAAAAATACCTTTTCATTCTCCATTTCATCTCATAAGGAAAGATCCACTAATAATAAAGAATATCACAAATGTTCTCTCTTATTTTCCCCACCTGTTTTTAAGGGATAATTCAGAACTAAAGAAAATTAATTCACTGATTGAAAAAGATAATTAAAAAGCATGACACAGCAGGTTGCATAAACACAAAACCCCTTTCTAATATCTTCTGCTTCTTCAATGGTTCCCTGATGCCTTTTCTGATTAAAAACTCTTATTTATTATGGGTTTGCACACATTCCATGTTTGATTAACTTCATTTGATCATTTTGGTTGATCTTTTCAATTCCAAGGCATTTGTTCTTTATGTAGCAACTGCCCACAACGATAATGGTTTAGTCATAACACTGCCGCTGTGGGAAAAAGAGACATTAGGAAACACCTTTAATTGGTCAGGAGTATAGTGAAATCTAAAAAGATTCCTCCTAAGCATGGCCTTTTTTCCATGCAAAGGAGAAGCCCAGATTTCACATTTAAATCATCTTCTTTTAACAACCCCATAATCTTTTGCAGGATGGAATCTAGGCAACTGAATGGAGCTGAGTGTTTACTGGCTGGATGCCCTTCCCGTTGCCAATGAGGAGTTATAGTCAGCAGATATACATATTCAGAGAGAGAAATATCAGCCTCTACCTAGAATCAAATTCACAGCCTCCTGATTGTAAGGTGAGAGTTCCACCTCTAGGCCACCGTACCATTCAAAATTTCACGTTTAAATGATCTGCAGAACTTGATGAAAACCATGAAGGAAAGCAGATGCTAAACAGCAACATAGCAACACACACTTCCCCTTACATCGGTTAATTTCACTGATCTTTTAATGAGCAAAAGAAAACAGGGGCGACTCCCAGAGAGGAAAGAGGGTTGAAATGAGGTGCCCATGTCCAACCAGATTCCTCGTTGGTTCACTATGATTGGGGGATCATATATCAGATCAAAATCAGCCAGCCTGCTACATAGCATTTTCATTTTACAAAAAGCACTTGCTCCAAGGATCAAAGGTACAAACATATAAACCATGAGGCTTCATTCACGAAAAGCTTTTTTTGCATGGAGGATATTAATAGAAGTAGCATGATTTGGGTTGACATGGTTATGCAGCCTTAAGCCCACTGGATTTTGGCAGGTGAATGTTAGTTGGTGCTGCCCTCTACTGGAGAGAAGCCCAAACTCTCCACGGGAAAATTTCATATAATGATCCAAGAGTGTTTTTGGCCGCTTTAAAGAATGAAGATGTATGGACTTCAACTCCCAGAATTCCCCAGCCAGGGAATTCTGGGAGTTGAAGCCCACACATCTTCAAGCGGCCAAGGTTGAGAAACACTGATCCAAGCCTTAATATCAGCAAGGATTCCAGTGAGTCATTCAACCTTTCGCTCCACTGTCATCACAGTTAAATTAAACCTAGCCGGATTTAGAAGAGAAACAAGCAGAGGTAAAAGATTTTGAGTTCACGTCACAGGCAGAAATCGCTCTCCTGGGGTTGGAGCTATCCTCACTGATTTAGCTGCCTTCTTGACTGGAGTGGTTTGCAAGCGGAGAAGGGGATTTTTAAAAACTGGCCAGATTTCTCTGCACTGCTCTACTAAAAATCTTTTTTTTCAGACTGGGGTTGCAATCAAGATGCAATTTCCTCACCTGACTCAGGCAGTCCAATGTGCTTGGTAAGCCTATGTAGGATACAGTCCAGAGGTGGGTATTCAGCAGGTTCTGACCAGTTCTGGAGAACCGGTAGCAGAAATTTTGAGTAGTTCGGAAAACCAGCAAATCCCACCTCTGACTGGCCCCGCCCCCGTCTCTTCTCTGCCTCCCGAGTCCCAGCTGATCGGCTGGGTCTCCTTTGGTTGCCCTGCACAGGAGAACGGAGCTGCAAAGCAGGTTAGTGGGGAGGGAATGGGGATTTTACAGTATCCTTCCCCTGCCACGCCCAACAAGCCACGCCCACAGAACCGGTAGTAAAAAAAAATGGAATCCTACCACTGATACAGTAGTATCTCTGGGGGGAAGAGAATCAAAGCAGCATAACCTAAGCCCCACCCCTTTTGCAAAACCACTGTGACATCACCAGCATGTTCCAAAAGAGTGCAACTTGTAGCCCAGTGGTGCAATGCTGCTTCCGTCATGATGATGAAAGCAAACAAGCTCCCATTACAGGCGCCCTTGGTAGGATGTCAGGGCTAGAGGCTCGTTGAAGCTCCACCCTTTCTCTGAAGCTCCGCCCACGGAAGCCAGAGGAGGTGTCACAGCTTCAGAAGACAGGAAGCAAATACCTGCCTGGGCGCCATAATCAAGGCGGGGCCAGATCAGGTTCTCCACCCTGCAACCACACAGATGCACACCTGGGCAGCAGCATACACCGGCCTCCCCGCAGTGTGTGGGCTCCAGTTTGGTCAGCCTTCCAAATGTGATAACTCTTAGCCAGCAGGACCCAATGCACAGCTGCAAAAAGGCAGGAAGAGAGACACCCCCCCAAAGCCAAGCTCACATCCTTTGCACCCTCTCAAGGTGACCCTTGCATCAGTTCATAACGTTGCTTCCTTCTAAAAAGACAAAGCCCCCGTTATCCTTCTGCATTATACCTGGGATACATTTGAGGATGCTAGAAGAAACTCCCCATTCCGGCAGCCAAACAAAGAACACAAAGATTTCTGACTGCAACGCTGGTTCCAGCTATTAAAAACCACAGGCCCTTTGGGGGACTGTGAAATCACTGTCGGCCTATTCAGACTGCATTATTTATCATCACTTCCAAGAGACAGTTCTCCTCCCTCGGTCTCTCCCCCACAGCTCCCTTCTCCTCTTTGAACTTTTCCTCCATAGGGGCACAAGTGGCCCTTTCATCGCCACTCAGTGGGGAATAATACCCTTGTCCTCAACTGGCCACAGGGGAAAAGGAAAACAAAAACAAAAACACACACACACCAGAGGGAAGTTGTCCTTCCTCAGCAGATTTCTTTAAAAAAAAAACAACCACCAAAAAAAAGGCTTTTTCAACCTCTTACATTGCAAAGCTTCCTCTCTAGAGCTCCTTAGCTGGGTGAATCGGTTGATGAGATCACAATCCCACAAGAAAGGATCTGCAGAAGGTGGCAGGGCCACTAACTCTCCAGCAGCAGCAAAGGGGAAAGGTGGCTTAACTGTCTGAGAGGGTGGACTGCAGACAATCCTGGCTTCAAAAGATTCTACACATGGATCGATCTCTCTCTCTCTCTCCCCTCCCTCCCTCCCTCCCTCTCCACACACACACACACACACACACACATTTGCTAACTACCCATTCAGAAGTTGACGTAGGGCAGGGGTGTCAAACACAAGGCCCGTGGGCCAGATCCAGTCTGTCCTGTGGTTGGATCTGGCCCACGGAGTCGTCCTGGAAAATGTTAAGGGGTCAGCCCGCATCTTCAGCCTGGTCTACCCAATGCAAAGAGGAAACATGCCAGCAGTTTGAGGAGTGGCATCAAGCTGGCCACACCCACCCAGTTGGCCACGCCTACCCAGTCAGCCACACCCAGAGAGTGGCATCAAGCTGGCCACACCCACCCAGTTGGGCACACCTACTCAGTCAGCCACACTGAGTGGCGTCAAGCTGGCCACGCCCACCCAGTTGGCCACGCCCACTCAGTCAGCCACACCCAGTGAGTGGTGTCAAGCTGGTCACGCCCACCCAGTTAACTACACCCACCCCGTCAGCCCCGCCCCCCCCCCCCCCCCCCCCCCCCCCGAGGTCAACAAGAGCTCTGATGCGGCCCTCAGTGAAATAGACTTTGACACCCCTGACCTAGGGGAACATTAAATCTATTTCAGGCTTTTAATGTCTTCTACCACACCATTTCCTGAAGGCCTTGGTAGCTTCTGAAATGTTCAATACTGAAGTTGCTGTACTTCCAATTAGCTTCCCTCTTCCTGTAATTTTAAGATGCATGGACTTCAACCCCCATAATTCCTCAGCCAGCATACTAGCTGGGGAACTCTGGGAGTTGAAGTCCACACATCTTAAAACTCGCCAAAATTTAGAAACAATGCTCTAACCCTTCGTGTCCTGGCATTCGTTGCATGCATTGGGTCATGCTGGGCTGGGAACTAATAATGAAGGCATCTTGGGAAGGTGGTTGTGATGTCCTCCTTGTCTTCTTTCCCATTTGCTCTTTCCATGCCTCTCTGCTTCTTGTCATCTCCCAACACCTGTACAGGTAAACTAGAATAATATCCAGCCCCTTGCCCAAAGGTTGGACTGTCAGAACAAACTGATGGGAAAAATACCTGCCAACTTGCAATGGGGATAACCACCAAACTCTTAATCATTCTCAGTGGGCAAAATCTCCCTTCCTACTTCTAAAAGCCAACGTGTACCCTAAAATCCTGATTCAGAACTAATAGAACTACGGCTAATTAAAAAAAAAATGTGCTAATGGACACCTTATCAATCTACCTCCATTTCTTTGCACATTTAGGTGGTCAATCTTATAATTATAGATCATCTTGGAGAAGGAACTTCTAACTGGTTGCTAAGAGTCAACACTAACTTAATGGCCCGTCATTCATCCACTCATCCATCCACAATTTTAAGGAAAGACAGAGAGGAAAAAAACTTGGTTTTGGAAAGTTTCTCATCCCCTTCTAGGATTGCAATCCAGATGGGCTGTGCGATCTCAATAGCACAACTATTCATAATAAGAGAACACCAATGAAATAGCACCTTATGCTGGATAAATCTCATGCGTGCTTTTCTTTGGTGATAAGGAAAAAAAATCAGGATCTCTAACTCTTTGTTTTTCAGAACTATTGCCTTAGTGGGAGTCCCAAATTGATCTCATGGTAAGCAATCATGGTTAGTTCTGGACAGGGGACCATCTGTGAAACCAAGGACGGTATACTAGATCGAAAACTTGAACAAGCAAACTACTTCTCGAAAGCTGCCCAGAGAGAACTGCACGGATGCAGCCACCTGGAGAAGAACTGGACTCAAGGAAATTTTTTATTTCCAGAAGCCCAAGGAGAGCTTTTTAAAGGGGAAGAGCTCAGACAGGGCCCTACTGTAAAACAGCTGGAACTCAGCTCAGGAGTTAGAATCCTTCATGGTCACTAGAGGCTGAAGGCCAAGGGTTAGAAGGTTGCCCTGCCTCTCTGAGAAGCAGTGGACTTCAAACAGCAAGCCAAAACAGAAGGGGAAGGTTTTGGTAAGGGGGGTTCAGTTGGGTGGGGATGACCCCCAGAGGCAAGCAGTTCTGGAATTCACTGGAGTTGTGGCAAGCAATGGGGCCTTGCTGGGAGAACAAAGGCCAGGCGGAACGAAGGAGGGGAACGCTCCAGATCCAGGAGGATCCATATCCATACAGCTACCTAGGAGAAGAGGAGAAAAGGAAAGAAGTGAGGCATAGTGGAGAAAGTTGACAATCAAATAAAAAAAAAGGAAGAGGCTCAGGACCCAAAGTGACCCCAGTTCCAGCCAGAGAATGAATTTATCCTGGTTATGAATGCCATCTTGCTGTTGGAGTTATCTTCAAGTCTCTTATTTTCCAGATTTTATTCAAAACATCAAACAAGCTCAGCTGCCGGTCCTTTTCCAGTTTAGACTCCTAGTCTGATATCGCTCCAACTTTGGCTCTCTTATAATTCAGACCCAGAACAACACACAGCTTAGTGCTGCGATCCATCCTTCACCTGCTTTTATTTATTTTTACCACTCTCCACTGGCCTGGCTCTTAGACACAGGCCCCTATTGCATCTCCCAGCATGACAGTGGTGGGATTCAAATTTTTTTACTACTGGTTCTGTGGGTGTGGCTTGGTGGGCATGGCATGGTTTGGTGGGCCTGGATTGGTGGGCCTGGCTGGGGAAGGATACTGCAAAATCCCCGTTCCCTGCCCACCCCACTAACCTGTTTTCCAGCTCCGTTCTCCTGTGCAGGGCAACCAAAGAAGACCCAGCCAATCAGCTGGGACTCAGGAGGCAGAGAATAGATGGGGGTGGGGCCAGTCAGAGGTGGGATTTGCCAGTTCTCCGAACTACTCAAAATTTCCGCTACCGGTTCTCCAGAAGTGGTCAGAACCTGCTGAATACCCACCTCTGCAGCATGAGCCACGTGGAACAAATAGGATGTCATTTTGGACAGGTTCGTATGTGCAAGCACACAATTTAAAGTGTGCAGCTGAAAAAGGTGACTCCAGATGGAGCCTAAGAGACCCAGTTCTCCACCTGGTAGATCAGGGGTGTTAAACTCGCAGCCCACGGGCCGGATGTGTCATGCGCTGGCCACCCCTACCCCCATTTTAGTGAAGGGGGTAGAAGATGCAATACGTCACGTGACAACAACGTGATGACGTGAGTTTGACACCCCTGTGGCAGATGGTGGCGCTGCTCTCCACATCTCACACAGATCCTTTCGTACAATTCCTCGCCCAGTTTCGAAAAAGAGAATTGTTGCTGCAATCACACAATTGCAGTGAGATCCTGGTTTTTCATGTTTAAATCCTCGGCACAATTGTGGGAACGTGGGAGCTGAAGGGCTTGGACCTTCAACCCCAGTGCATGCTTTATTTCCACTTGATTATTGCTGAGGTCATCAAATGGCATACCTACCACAGAGGTCCAAAAGAAGATAATCCTGAAAATTAAGACAAGCTGTTCTTTTCTACCCCCCAAATAGGAAATTTAGACAAGGGAAAGACATGTCTCGCCTGCCTCCAATGTCATGTCATCAAGGAAGCAAGATGCCCTCCTTTTTTTAAACAGATGACAAACAAAGCTAGCTCTCTTTTTAGAATCAATATAGTGTCTACGTGAACAAATCCTCTGTTCTTGAGACCATTTAGATATTACAGAAGAAGAAAAAGGGGAAGAAAGGGGAACTAAATGTTGCATTTTGCACAGAGCAACGAAGATGGCAATTGATGGTAGAAACCACAAGAGTGAAGAGAATCAAACTGAAGTTGATCACAAGGGTCATTTTTCATTTAATCTGCAAACAACTCACCAGTTATGATGTCTTCTATCTCATCCTTGTGGATAAACCTAGTGAGAATTCCAAAAAAAAAAAAGTCTGAGTTTTTAAAAGGCCTTTTCCTGAAGCGATTTATTCTTTCCTTCAGCAAACACACTTTAAGCTAAGACGTGTCTGTTTCCTCCGGTGTCTGTGGCATGATATACCCAAACAGTTTTAAAAACCATCTTGGCTCAGAATGCCAGATGCAGCAAATATAAATAGGCAACTGTTTCACCATCCTGTAGAAGATTCCTAATTTCCACTGGCCAGTTCTGTGCTGCCCCAAAGGGACTCCTAGTTTGAAAACTGTCCAATGCACAAATTAATCAGTCTTTTAAAGGATGTCTAAGAGATCAGAGATTTCCTTACGTATTACCAAACTTAATGCTGGTCTATGATGATATTAAGAAGAAATTGAATAACCATTTGTCTGAAATGTATAGGACTTCCTGCCTAAGGATGGGGTTGGACTAGAAGACCTCCAAGGTCCCTTCCAACTCTGTTCTTCTATTCTATTTTCCATTTTCCATTTTCTATTCCGTTCCATTCCATTCTAAAAGCAAAGTCAGTTTTCTTTCTTTTGTTCCCTTTGCTTAAGTAAGAGTTTGAAATCCTTTGAAATAAATATATAAAAAACAATAATTTTTAAAAAGTTCCCTGGCCCAGGAAACGTTCTCCCCCAGGAGAAAAGGGAAACAGAGGGTGGGTGCGGCCACAGGCTGGCTCTTACGCCGGATGGAGCTGCGCAGAGTTCCTTCCTCTTCATCCGGTTCTCCGGTCCTGGAGACAAAACCAAACCATCACACTGGGTTTCTACCTCTTGGGCTATCATCACACCAGACAGCGAAAATTCTTTGCATGCAGAACAGGTTTACAGCAGTACCTTCCAATGTAATCTGTACACCACAAACCCATATAAGCTCTGCACGCTCCTATCTTTACAGTATTTTTTTTTCCTTTTAAAGAACTATTTCAGCTGATTGGACACTTGGGGTTGGTCCAAGCTTGGCAACTTTAAGACTTGGGGACTTCAACTCCCGGGAATTCCCCAGCCAGCAAGAGAGGAATTCTGGGAGTCAAAGTCTACGAGTCTTAAAAGTTGCCAAGCTTGGATACCCCTATTGTAAACCATTTATACAACCAGAGCTGAAGAAGCTTCTGGGATGAGAAGTGAAACGTCTTCCAAGAAAAACCAGAAAGTCCAGTTGCCTCTTTGAGGGGGGGGGGGGAAGCACCTTTGGGACATCAAATTTGGCCCCTTGCAAACGGTCACCAGGAAAACTTTGTAATGTTAGAAATTTGGCACGTTGCGTTCTTTATTTTTCCTCTCTTGCACTGCATCCTTTTGTGCTGTGTATTCAGGCCAGAGGAAGGCTGAAAATCTTGCCTTGATAAATCCTCAGAATGCAGCGAGCTGGGAATTGTTCTGGCTGAAAAGAGAGGCAGCAGTATCAATGCAGGCGGCTCAGGGATGATGTCACTGGGTGCGGGACTTACACAGGGATAGAGAGTGGGGTTTTTTTGTATAAAAGCTATGCTGCAGCGTCCCCTGCTGACATCCAAAAGGAATAACGATTCAGCATACTAAAGGTGTGTGTGTGTGTAT